TGGTGGTCTGTTCCACAATCAGCTCCTGGCCTTGTTTTCACAGCTGATATTAAGCTTCTCCAGCGTTTTTTTTCTGCAGATATAATCAGTCTGATTCCTATGCATACCATCTGCATTTATGTTTCTTATAAAACGTATTTGCAATGAATAGGTCATTGATTGTGAAAAATTCAGTCATGCTATCTCCAGCTTCATTTCTCTCACCAAGTCCATGTTTTCCAACTACTCATTCTTCTTCTCTGTTTCGCATGAGCACAATTAATTTCTCTGGGATTCCCATTCTTCTCAATGTTATCCATAATTTGTGATTCACACAGTCAGATGCCTTTGCATAAGCAATAAAGATGAATAGACATTCTTCTGGTATTCTTTACTTTCACCTAGTATCCACCTGACATCAGCAATGATATCCCTTGATGCCATGGCCTCTTTTAGATCCTGCTTGAACTTCTGGCAATTCTTTATCTATGTATTGTTCTGTTTTTGAATAATCTCCAGCATTATTTTGCTTGCATATGATGTTAATGATATTGTTTGACCTTTTTCACATTGTACTGGGTCACCTCTCTTGGGAATGATAATGCGTATGGACCTCTTCCAATCCGTTGACCACACCACTGTCCTCCAAATTTCCTGGCATAGGCTGGTGAGCTTATCTAGGCATGAACTTGTGGATGCACTTCTGACTTGCTAATTAACAATTATTTATTACCATCTTATTTCTTTTTATAACAGAAGACTGATTTGGGGAAATCAAGATCCTATTCGCCCTGTTTCCCAGAATGTTTTGAAAACTCATCTGACCAGACGAATGGAGTGCCTTGCGCAGCCCAGGAGACTGTCCCGCCGATATTTACCTAACAGGTTAGCATTTGTATTGGGTTACCTTTTCAGGAGTCTGTAGGACAAATAAACACAGGTCTTCTTTGTTGTTGTTGTTACTTAATATTTTATTTCACTTTTTAAAAAAAGATAGAGGCCCATTCCATTCAGCTTTCAATGAAAGAAATTAATACGCTATGCCTGCCTTTTCCAAGGAAACACCATGCAGCTGTTTTCTCATTGCTCTCCTGAGGACAGGCTTTAAAACCAGGTCTTTTACATAAAATCTGTATGTTTGTCAATCTATCATCACATTTTACTGAGGACTAGGGATTTTGTAACTGTTTTTAATATGATTTTTACCACACTAAAATTTTCCACATCAAAATATAATACAGATTTGTGGTATTTCTTATTGAAATGTTCTGGGTTTTTAAATAAACTTGTCTGAAATGTTAGGAATATACCTCTTCAAGCAACTCTAAAGAAATTCTGCAGAAGACATGAGCTCTTTTCTTTGAAAAAAGAAATTCTATTTTTGGCAGTATTGAAATGAAACAGAATAAAACATAAACCAGTAGTCGTAGGCAATTTGATGGCACATAACAACAATTCAGTATTATTTGTTGCATTTTTCTTTTTTATTATTATTATTAATGTCAATGAACATTTACAGATATTTTGGATTTCCATTCATTCATTGTTGCACTTTTGTTCCATTTTTCAAGTTGTGCAACCTTTCTCATTTTTCAGTCTGAATAATTCCTCTACAGACCTCTAAGCTTCCTGTTTAAGGAGTACCCTTATAAATAGAAAAAGTTTCACACAAACAAACAAAACCCGATGCCTAACAAAACAATTACAATTATATTTATTCTATAGAACAAAGTAGAACTGCCCCATAAGGTATTGAAGACTTTAAATTTTATAGAATAGGAAATAATATGATAAATGGAGAAAAAGAAAAGAATTGCCAAGAATTTCATATTACTTGGATTCAAAAGCAGCACTCATAGATACAGCAGAGACTTTGAGGACTAAAGTGTGCCTGACCCAAACCATATTATTTACAGTTGCCTCATATGCATGGATTGGAGGAAGACTCATCAATAACTTGCATTATGCAGATGATACAACTTTACTTGTTGAAAGTGAGTAGGACATGAAGCACTTGTTGCGGAAGATCAAGGAATACAGTCTTCAGTATGGATTACACCTCAGCATCAAGAAAACAAAGATTATTACCACTGGACTAATAGGCAACACCATGATGGATGGAGAGGAAATTGAAACTGTCAACAGCTTCATCTTGCTTGGATCCACAATTAACACCCTTGGTACCAGCAGTCAGGAAATCAGGAGACAATTGCGCTGGAAAAATCTGTAGTTAAGGACCTCTCCAAATTATTGAGGAGTAATGATGTTAGTTTGAGGACTAACATGCATCTGATTCAGGTCATAGTCTTTTTGATTACTTGCTATGCATCTGAGAGCTGGACAATGAATAAGGATGACAGAAAAAAAATTGATACCTGTGAGCTGTGGTGTTGGAGAAGAGCACTGACCATTGGATGGCCAAGAAAATGAATAGACATATCTTGGAGAGAGGATGCAGCCAGAGTGCTCTTTGGAAGCAAGAATGATGCGGCTTTGCCTCACATACTTTGGGCATGTTGCTAGGAAGGGCTATTCCTTGGAGAAGGACATGATGCTAGGAAGGGTGGAGGGTCAGCAAAAGAGAGGAAGACCTTCAACCAACATGGTGATTGCTGCAATGCGCTCTTGTGTGTGAGTGAGTATGAGGATGGTGCAAGATAGAACAGGGTTCAGAACTGTTGTTTATAGGGTTGCTATGAGTCAACTCGACAGCACCTAACAACTAACAACAACATATACATGTCGGATACTCTGGTGACATATTCCATAGGGAGCTGCACTGCTAACTCTCTCTGGTATTTTGAACCCACTAGTGGCTTTGTGGGAGAAAGACAGGTAATTTTCTCTTGAAACCCACTGGAGGGTCAGCTGTCAGTGTCCAACTTGACAGAAATGAGTTTTTAAGTTTTTCACCTGCATGTGAAAACTAGAGAATGATTAATAAAGACTGAAGACTTGACCCGTTTGAATTATGGTTTTGGCAGAGAACCTTCAGTGTCTATGGAGTGCAGGAAAGAAAAACAAGCATTCACGAGAAGTAAAGCTAGAAGACTCCTTGGAAGTGAGAGTGGGGAAGACTTCATCTCATGTTCTTTGGATATGCTTTAAAGCAGAACCAGTCCCTGGACAAGGACACCATGTTTAGTAAAGGAGGGGGCCACCAAAAAAGAGGAAGATCCTCAATGAGGTGGCACAGGGACTGGTACAGTGTCTGCCACCATGGGCTCAAACAGCATTGACTGTAAGGATGGCACAGGACCTGGCAGTGTTTTGTTCTTTTCACTTAGTTGGAACCAGTGTGATGGCATCTAATTATAAGAGGAATATTTACAGGCATGGACTCTCCCATCTTTTTCCTGAAAAGCAGCTGAGGGGTTTAAACAACTGACTTTTCAGTTAGCAGTCAAATGCTTATCTGCTGCATCACAAGGTGTCCTTCATTTAAAAATAGGAAACCTCTTTTCTCTTTTTATTATAGTGTTTTAGATAAAATTTTACACAACATATTAGATATTCATATTCCATGGTTCAATTTATATGCAAAACAGGTCATTAAGGAAGCAGGGCTTTATGAGGAGGTGTGTGGCATCAGGATTGGAGGAAACACATCAACAAGTTGTTATCCAGGTGACACAACCTTGCTTGCTGAAACTGAAGAAGACCTGAAGCACTTGCTGCAGAAGATCAAGGACTGTAGTTTGGGCCAACTGACAGCACCATGTTAGACGGAGAAGAGACTGAGGTTAACAATTACTGCTTGCTTAGCTCCACAATCAACATTCTCTTTTTTTTAATTGAGATTTTCATGAAAGATTATAGAGAACTTGGATTTCCATTCATTCATTGTCACAGATTTTCCTCCCTGCCCATCCCTCCCCCTAGTTTGCTTTTCTCTTTGAAAAGAAAAAAAAAATCTTCATTGTTATACAATCCCCACCCTCTTAGTCCACTTTATTATGCAGCTCCTACTCTGGACTCTTGTCATGAAAAAACTACCCAACTTTATATCCCCTTTAAACAGTTCTATCCCTCATCTGTTTGAATGTAGTGTTCATTATTTATCCCCATTTTCCTAGTTCCCCCTAAACTCAATGTCAGTCCTGTTTTATAACAGTGGCATTATGCAGTGTTTGTAATTTTGTGACTGAGATATTTCACTCAGCATTATGTGCTCCAGGGTCACCCATTTTGTATAATATTTCATGAGTTCCTTGTTTTTTCAATGCAGCATAGTATTCCATTGTGTGAATATACCACAGCTTCTCTATCTATTCATTTGTTGATGGGCACTTGGGTTGTTTCCAACTCTTTGCTGTTGTGAACAAAGCCACAATAAATATGGGAGTGCATATATCTACTTGGGTGTCAGTTCTGGTTTCTTTAGGGTATATTCCCAGTAATTGAATTGCTGAGTCAAATGGTCTTTCTATTTCAAACTTTTTGAGAAAATGCCATACTGTCTTCCATAGTGGTTGCACCATTTGACACCCCCAAGAACAGTAAATAAGGGTTCCAGTTTTTCCACAATCTTCCAGCATTTATTTGCTGCTCTGTTGAATTTTGCTATTGTTACTGTGGTGAGATGATCTAGTTGTTTTGATTTGCATCTCTCTTAGAGTTAGGGATTTTTAACATTTCTTCATGTGTGTGTTTGCCATCTGAATGCCTTCTTTGGTGAAGTGTCTGTACATACCCTGTGTCCATTTGGCATTTGGGTTGTTTTCCTTTATCTTGTTATGGTGCTCAAATATTCTATAAATTCTAGATATGAACCCCTTATTTGACATGCCATTACCAAATATTTTCCCCCAGTCTGTGGCTTCCCTTTCTACCCTGTTGGAGTTTTTGGATGTGCATAGGGATCTTATTCTTAGAAGGTCCCATTCATCTATTTTATCCTCTCCTGGTTGTAGGTTTTTTAGGATGCTTGGAAGACTGTTTATGTTGTGAATTAGGGCTCCTAGAGTTCTTTCAAGCTTTTCTTTATTGTAAAGTTTATAGTCCTTGCTTTTAATCCTAGGTCCTTGATCCACTCTGAGTTGGTTTTTGTGTATGGAGTAAGGTGTAGGTCTTGCTTGAGTTTCCTAATTTTGCCAAGACCATTTGTTAAAAAGCCTGTCATTTCCCCACTTAACTGATTTCATATCTTTGTAAAAAAATCAGTTCACCATAGGTAGATAAGCTAATTTCTGGATTCTCAGTTCTGTTCCATTTATCTGTGTGTCTGTCACTGTGCCAGTACCACACTGTCTTGACCACCCCTGCAGTGTAGTAGGATTTAAAATCAGGCAATGAGATGTCTCCTACCTTGTTTCTCTTTTTAAGGAGTGTTTTGATTATTTTGTGTCTCTTTCCATTCCAAATGAAATTGGAGATTGCCTTTAGGGTTTTCTAAGTGTACTATCATATCATCTGCATAGAGATAATTTTACCTCCTCTTTGCCAATTTGGATACCTCTTATTTCCTCATCTTGTCTTATTACCATTGCTAAGACTTCCAATACAGTATTGAAAAAAGAGGTGATAGTAGGCATCCTTGTCTAGTTTCTGTTCTCAAAGGGAGTGCCTTTAATCTCTCTCCATTGAGAACAGTGTTGGCTCTCGGGTTTGCGTATGTACTTTTACTATGTTGAGGAAATTCGCTTCTATTCCTATTTTGTTGAGTTGAGCGTTTTAATCAGGAAAGGGTGTTGGATTTTGTCAAAGGCCTTTTCTGCATCAATTGATAAGATCATGTGGTTCTTGTTCTTTGCTTTGTTAATGTGATGAATTACACTGATTTTCTTATGTTGAACCATCCTTGCATACCTGTTATGAATCCCACTTGGTCATGGTAAATTATTATTTTTTTAAATGTATCATTTGATTCTATTGGCTAGGATTTTATTCAGGATT